GGGGGGGGCGGGGGGGGGGGGGGGGGGGGGGGAGAGACATAGTTCAGCAGGACTCTGCTGTGAAACATTTGGCCCTCTGTCAAATCTATTCTGCATTTAGAGTGAGTCTGAATAAGCCCAAGTATGTCACGACTCCCTTTGTTTATTTCAACAGTTGATTGACAGCTATCAGGTTTATTTACTATAGAAAACATAGGTTTCCCTATTCAAACAAAAGGACACTTTAATGATGCACCCCCTGCTGTCTGTTGAGGGAAATGCACCTTGGGGTTTTTCCGGGCATAGATGTCGGTACGCAGCCCAAAGTTCTGCAGGTCCATCGGCTTCTCCTTGGTCTTCTCTGGGAAGCTGAGCATCTGCTGCGAGGCTGGGATCTGGGGAGGGGGGGAGGTCACACGCGTCAGGGTGGGGACTCGGACGGCCAGCGACCGCTCCGCCTGCCGCCGTGTCCGGTGTGTACCTGAGACGGCCGATGGAGGAGGGGCACCAATCCCGAGGGAGTGTCCGCCAGCACGTTGAAGTGAGGGGTGGGCGGGGGGCCCATGGGGAGGGGTCGGCTCTCTGCGTCCACCTGGTAGTTCACCAACCCCCACTGCTCCAGAAATGCATGTACTCTGGGTGAAGGAATCACACTGTGGTCATACAAGGAGGGGGAAATGCCCCATACCCATCATGCACTGCTCTCGACCCTCACCTCATGATGGCGCACACATCTCCGGTCAAGTTCCTGCGGCAGGAAGTGGAGGTGAGGTACTCCTGGGGGTTCAGGCGGTAGGTGTCAATCATGAAGTTACGATAAGCCAGGTATCTGAAACAGGAAACGGAGGCGTCGGTGTGTGGCTGGCAGGGAACAGGCAGCCGGAAATCAAAGAAAATCGGCTAAACTGAGCCTCAGATCACACTCACATCTCTGGAGTCTTGGACTTGTTCTTGCCGTTGAAGAACTCAGGGAGGGCACGCCTCTCGATCTCATGGATGCTGCAGGACGGAGAGACACGTATCCGATCAGCCTCTCCACAGGCTCATGAACACCAGGAGCGTTCCTCATAAAAGACAAAACGATCGCTATTCGCGGTTCCAAATAGCCGCATTAGCGCGTATTCAAACGTATTCGCAACAACGCTGACATGAACACAGGTATGACATGGTGCAAAGCTTCAGCGGCAGAGACGTATCCGTCTGCCATGTTGTAGCCCATCAGTGTAAACACGACCCAGACATGGTAAATGGGAAACGCGCCTCACCAGTTATAGTCGAACCATGCCGCGTAGCTGGGGATGATGATGTGGTGGGTCTGTTCCGTCACATTGTCCTCGCCCGAGTCCAACAGCCGGTTCATCTCCATCTTCCCCGGTTCCTCGTCCTCCTACAGGGGAGGACGGTTGGAATGATAGATCACAGTAAGCCTACCTCACTCCCACCCCCCCCCCCCCCATCCTCACACGTTTCATACAGTCTGCATTAGGAATAAGGAGGAGTCTTACCTTCCCCCCAGTGAGCAAGGAGTCGTCCTCCTGTTCGTCTGAAAAATGCGGATGGTTTCCATCATTACCCATAATACAATGGGAATCAAGAGAGCTGCAGAAGCGGCCACTAGACGGCCACTAGGGGGCGTCGCACTTACCCAGGTCTGTCATGGTGCCGCCCTTCACCGGCGTGTTCTCACTGTCCTTCTTCAGATTCACTGCAGAGACCAAGCAAAATACGAGGGGCTTCGCTACGTTTCATCACGCCAGCGAGACGACAACGGGCACTAAGCAGGACGACGAGGGGAAAGGCAGGAAAACACAGCTAGACTGAAACGACTCTGACAGCCAGTATCAACCCGGACATGGAGACCTAGGCCCAGAAAGCAAAGGGACGCAGGGATCGAACCCGAAGCCAGCTTGGCGGCCAGGTCGCACAGAGCCCACGTTGTGAGCAGGAGGCTCACCGTTCTTGGGCAGGATGACCTCCTCCATGTTGGGGACGGGAGTGGGGTCCTCCATGTCTTTGGTCAGGTCCTCCTCTGGCTCCTCCTCCTCTCCCCGGTGGCCTCTGCGCTTGTAGTACTGCCCAGGGGTCCTGCGTATCAACACATGCCGCTGGTTCGGTCATATTTTTAAGCCGCAAAATCTGAGACTAGGATCTACATCGGGGTGCCTCTCCCATCACTACAAGACACATTCACCACAAGGAGTGTTTGAAAAGCCTGCAGCATTGTGCAGGACCCCTCACACCCTCACACCCTGTCATCCAGGAGGAGATACTGCAGCATCACAGCCAGATCGGCCAGGCTGCACGACAGTTTTCATCCCCACACTGTCAGGCTGCACGACACCACGCTGCCCCCAGGGGCCTCCAATCAACCCTCTCCTAACCCACCGGACCTACACCGTTTTCCTATTGTTTTTACATTTTAAACTGACTCTGCTGCTACACCCTCTGATATTATACCGATATCAAACTGTATTTATACTGTAACATCACACAAATATACTGTATTTATACTGTATTTGCACAAAAATCATACTGCACAAAATCTTATTTTACACTGTGCTCCCGCACCAGAAAGCCGCTCGCACTGACTGCCACTGTGCTTGAAATACTTCAGCTCATTTTCACTCTTTGTCTTGTTCTGTTCTCTGTCCACTTTGTTAGAATTGTCTATTTTTCTTAGTATCTCCTGACTTCTGTCTACTTACACTCTGTGTAAAAATTCAACTATATGTATATTCTGTGGAGTCTGAGCTTCACCATCTCGATTTATCTGTATACTTGTTTATGGAAAGATGACAATAAAGTTCACTTTGACAACAACCTACATGCAGTCTCTGCTTGTATCTGCCAGCAGAGGGCAGTATTGGGACATACCCCTTCTTGTTCCCCTTCTTGCGGGATTCAGTGGGCGTGGCCTGGGGCGACGGAGACCGCCTCCTCTTCTTGCTGCCGCTGGCCGCCTTGCGGTCCTTGCGATCAGGTGTACGGGAAGACTGATCAGATGCCGGGGGTGGGGTGGAGGATGAGAGAAAAGCGCGGCGATGAGCGATGGGGTGGAGCTGCGGGGGGGGGGGGGGGGGATGAGCACAGCGGAGGCGGTGAGAGGCGAAGAGGAGCCTGGAGTGGAATGGCTGACAGCGATGGGACAGACAGCAAAGGCACGGAGGCACCTTGAAGATGTAGAGGAATGAAACAGAGAGCAGACGCAGGAGCACGCCCCCCGGTGGCGTGAGAGGGCTCAGCAGGGAACCCGGCGACCTGGGGCACTACGCCCAGCATAGAGGGGGCCTGGGGTCCCCTGGCCAGAAGTGGGACGTACCTCTTCCTCACGTGGGAAGATGCGTTGGCGGGAGCTCACAGGCTTCTTGTTCTCATCCAGCTCATAATCTTCCTCATTCATCCACTCATTGAAGGCATCGGTGTCAAGGACCCACCTGGCGTGAACCTGGAAAAGGTCAGAGATCGAGCAGCCAATCAGGACGTGACACAGAGACCACAGCCCTGCGGATACACCTCTGCTCCATGACTCTGACCAATCACAGGGCTTTACTCATCATCACTGACTGCCAGGTGTTTGAACAAGACGCAAGTTTTGCCAGGAGGTCAAGCCACCTTCCAAAGGATGGGGGCAAGCAGACTCAAAGCACTCTGACCTTCCAGGGCTTCTCGGCGCCTGGGGGGTCTTCCACATCTGCCTCCACCTCGCTGGAGGACACCCACGTGTCATAGCTACATGCAGAACACAAAACGGTACGTCACACTCATTGGTCAGCCGACTCTGCCAATCATACGGTATGGGCTTCATTTACATACTTTCACTATTCCCCATGCTGCCTGCCCTCAACCACAGTGGGGGGGTTTTCCAGGTCTGTGCCTGAACCCAGAGGATCACCGGTCTGTATACCAGGGCCGGCAGCACAGCACCAAAGCCCTGAACCCTGAGCACAGAGGAATCCCGACCTCTGCCATAGATCTTGTACGTCATCTGTCGTGATTGTGTGTGACTCTCTCTGTCTCCCCCCCACCTGTCAGTGAACATTCCCCCCTCCTGCCGGTGTGTGAGACTCTCTTTCTCTCTCACTCTCTCTCACTCTCTCTCACCTGTCAGGGAACATCCCCCAGTGCACCAGCACCTGTTTCTCTTTACGCATGACAGGACGCAGCCACTCCTCTGCAAGGGAGAGAGGAACCTGATCAGCGTCGGCCGTCAACGCGGCTTACGTCAGGCTGACGGCACACAGTGACCCCAGCCGTCCTGGCCTCTCCCGTTAACGCATCAAACAGGCAGGGGGCCTCCCTCTAAGTGGGGGCTCCCCTTCCCTGGATCCCCCCTCCGTCCAGCGGCACTGACCTTCATCGAGGGAGGCAGGAGAGGGATAAATGACATGCGTGGCTTTGGTCTTCTCCTCTGTGATTGAGCCCTGGGACACAAAGACAAGACGATTAACCAACGACTATTGTTATTATTAAGGGTCCAACTACTACTACAACATCAAAAACAATCGGGAGGGACATCTATTGGGGCAGAAAGGTCTCCTGCTCACAGCACAGTTCATTTCTTCAACCAGATGAGGTTTAACAGCAAGGATTTCGCAGGAAGTCAAAAGAATACAAGGCAAATTTTCACAAACCTTAAATAAGCGTTTACAGACATCTCAAAGCCTGAGTCACAACTATATTTAGTCTATCTAATTAGCCGTAGATCTATGAAATACTGAAAAAGACAGATGGCTTACGTTTTCTAGGCAATTAGATTATTATGATGTTAAAGACCTTCATCCTAAATTTGGGGCAGACCTCTTCGCCACAGAACACTGATATTTCAGTAGAGTGGAAAATGGCTGATGGCTTGTGACAGGCCCCCGCCATGCCAGAATGTGCCCGGATGCCCCCTGATGCCCCCTGATCCGCTGGAGCCACCTACCTGGTGTCTTTTGATGACGTCCCTGAGCTTAGCCGCCTGCTTCTGCTCGATGTCCGGAGTCAGGAACACAACAGGCCGTGTCAGACAGTTGTTCTGAAAGCACATTTGGGATGGGAGTTTTACGACCTGCCGTTAGAATGTCCCAGAAACACATTAAAAATGTTTCTTCTGAGCACTTATCCCCGATGAATATGGAAAAATACAGCAAACACATCCATCTTCCAGCCTCTTATCTATTACAGGATGACAGGGAGTCTGGAACCTATTCCAAGCAGACATGGCAGGGAAATAATCTGCGCAGGATGTCATTGCAGGGCACACGCACTCACAATGACAAAGCGAGCAATTTATGAACCGCAATGAGCCTAACTGCACGTGGAGGTGGGATTCAAACCCACAACTATAGAGAGGTGAGGTAAAAGTGCAATCTACTGAGATGCCCTGACTTTAGTAAGACTATATGAGGTGGATTACAGAATGATATAGTCCTGTATTTAAAAGGCAGACTGTCACAGCTCTGAACATTATCCCACATCATGGTAAAAGTCAGCAGGCTCTTTAACAGAATGAAGATCAAACCTGCACGAGGGCCTTCTCCACAGTCATGAACATCTCCACGTTCCTGTCCATCCTGGAAGGGTTCTGGAAGTCGAATCTGCGCCTAGACGGAGTGGGGGTGCGGGTGGTTATGGACACTCAGCACCACGCCCCACAGAGGGGGAGGGGGCCATCCCACAGTCCACCCCCCAGCCCCCTACACCACTTACCAGCCTTGCTCACTCTTGAACTTGTAAACGGAGCCCAGGATGTGACACAGAGCACCTCCAGGCTTGAAGTCCAGGAAACACTTGTTCTGATGAACAAGGAAGGAAGGTAGGAAATGCGTGACATGCAGTATAATTAGACGATGCGGACGGAACTCTTAACATCCACACATCACCATAATACGCGCATAATGCACATCATATTGGGTCTACAACCCAGATCGATACAATTATGTTCTAAATACTACTGCCTTTCCTGGAAAATGATGTGTGATTGTGTGTGTGTGTGTGTGTGTGTGTGTGTGTGTGTGTGTGTGTGTGTGTGTGTGTGTGTGTGAGAGAGAGAAAGAGAGAGGAGCCGGGGAAAAGGAGGTGGACTAATTACTCACGGGCAGTTTGGTGAGGGCGGGGTTGTTCATCTTCCTCCCAAAGGCATCCTCCTGAAACTGCAGCAACTGCATGACCAAGCCAGCCAAGGACTTGTTGGAGGGGGAGTCCGTCTGGACATACTGCAGAGGACAGGGACATGGGGACACATCAACATCCCCACGTGGGACACACACCTGCAATTCTGTGCAATACAGTAACTGCATTCATTTGCTTGATGAAAAACATGATACAAAACTATACACTATCTGAACAGAACCGTTAAATACAGGTTAATTGCCCTCTGGTCCAGATTTGTCAGAACTGTGGAAGAATGAGTGTTTTTTTTAACAAGATTTAATGGGAATCACTGATTCCCATTAATCCCCCCCATCAATCCGACACAGAAAACTACCAAAACACCAGCAGTTCTGTATATTTCCTATGCAAGGAAGTTACCAAAAACCAGCCCTGCAACAATAACAAAAAGATTATTTCGCGTTTCAATCAAGTATTAAAAAAAAAATTAATCAGACAGTGATGAAGAACAGGCAGGTCCCCAGACAGTGATGAAGAACAGGCAGGTTGGACTCCCCCAGACAGTGATGAAGAACAGGCAGGTTGGACTCCCCCAGACAGTGATGAAGAACAGGCAGGTTGGACTCCCCCAGACAGTGATGAACATCTGCGTGTCGGAGCCCCGCCCACTCGCTGTCATGACGAAAGGACTGGCGGGTAAACACTTAAGATCCTCTTATGCCTTTACTTGCTTTTTTAAAAATAAAATGAACGAAATGGCATCTAGATCTTTTTACAGTTTGTATCTGTTGAAAGAGAAAAGGTTTCCCTTTTTAGGGATTCATATTAAGCACTCATTCTGGCAGGGCCCATTTCGACCGAAATGACTGAAATCCAGGGGCCTTCAGAACTGGAGTCCGCGTCCAAACACACCGATCAGACCAGACTAGGAGCTCGAATCACCCACTAAATCTCACCCCATGTCTTGCTCCCCTCACCCTCCGTCAGGGAAAAAAATCTCCAACAACAAACACCGGAGCGGCGGTGCAGCGCCCACGGCGGCCAGATCCCTTTGTTCTCAGCACCAGAACTAATAAGACACCAGGAGCCGCCTGCAGCACCTGTACGCATTCCGCCGGGCCAAACTGCACGTCCTGGTTCGGCTGAGACGAGCTGGGGAGGTTTCGGGCCAAACCACCCATTCGTTAAGGTTCCCATTTAAAAAGTCGCCTCTTGTTTACGGCCTGGCTGCGTATTGTCTGCAGACGGCCCCGTAGGCTAAAGCTAGCCTATAGCGGCTGTTTAAACGGCTCCTGGGGAAATGATCACGCAGCGATTCAACTGATAATCTGGCTGGTATCCAGCTAGTTACCATGTTATACAATTACGGAGAAGAAGACAGACGTGTTGGAGGACCGTTAGCCCTGTAGCTGGTTAGCCACTAGCACTAACCTTTTTGTAATGCTTCATAATCCACTGACGCACCGCGTCCATCTGAAACACCGTATCTGAACTCTCCCAAAACTTCGCCGACGGGCCGCCGTCTTTCTTCTTGCCGATCGACGTGCTCCCGCCTGCCTGGCCAGTCGTCGGACCCCCGGTAACCGTTCCTCCAGTAGCCGCTGCCGCCATCGTATCCAACAGTCGTCACGGTCTTTCTTACCGGATAAAGCGGTGGACAGATCCTTACTTACACCGCCTGAAGCGTCACCCTGCGCAGCTTTGGAAATCTCGCGATATGGCGCTGTGCTGATGGGAAATGTAGGTTTTCACAACAGAGTTTATTAATCCGCATTAGACATTAAAACACCTAAATGCCTATCATTTTTTTTTAATTAATGCAATTATTCGATAATTCGCAATATTTATCTTATAATAATAAGCAATGGATTAAGATGTGCTTCTTTTTTAACCCCAGTTGGATAAAGGCTCCACCCCCGCGACCCTGCATGACCCGGTGAAGCAGATGGATGGATGGATGGATGGGTGTACTGTACATACTGTACATACTTGGCTCGGAGCTTCCCGTTCACATGAGAAAAAGATGTATTGGACTTCACATTATTTATTGATTATACATCTGCCAGACAGAATAATATACAGACAATACTTACGCAACTGCATTTTAGGCAACGTGACAGACATATGTAATAGACATGCACTGTCTTGTATACTAAATATGGTACAATTAGTTACAGTTGAAGTTCTAATTTGAACAGCATTTGTTGTATATTGTCTACGTGTAAAGACCAGAACCAAAGTGAAAACATGACAGTCGTAGCTCGTCAACTAACAGCGCACCTCAGTAATAATACAGCAATGCATTCTTGATGCACTGAATGGAGTTTGATAAACTATTGATAAGAGTGAGATAAAAAGATGAACTATTAATGCAATCTAAAAATACAACGAATCACATTTGAGGACCGGCTATTGCGAAGCGCCTGCGCAACGCTCACTGGGAGATAAAGAAATTGAAGGGTAGCTTAAAGGGGAAAGAGAATGGAGGAAGACGCCGCAGTCTGTAAAGCAAGGGGGTGGCGATGAAGCCCCGGCGTCTTCCCTGTTCGAAAATGCGAAAGAAGCGCCGCGGCGATGCGTTATCAAGACCATTTTAACTGGCTTGAAATGAGCAGCGGTGCGTCAGGTGCGGGAGGCGGGGCGGCGGGCGCTTTGCACGGCGCCCAGCTCTGCAGCGGGGGAGGAGGCTGCGGCGCCGTGCTCGGTTATGACGGCGCCTTTGCTACGCTGGCGTCCGCCACTACAGCGGCTCCGGGGCTGCACGCCAATGGAGCGGCTCGCATGCGCGGCGACTGGCTCAACGCGTCCCACGCTGAATCTGCTTCATCGACCCGGGGAAACGACGGCAGGCTGGTGGACGAAGCGACCGACACCGGCAGCGGATGGGACCCCGAGCGTCCGGGGAAATACAGGATAGAGGGATCTGGTGCTGGCAACGGGGAAGGCGATCGTCTGAAGAACGCCGGCGGCATTAATATTGATTACAGACCCAGCCGCTCCCAACTCGGGGGCGGGCGGAGAGCTTTTATGGATGCTGCCTTGCGGAGGGCTGGGTACACAAGAGGTGAGCTGCAGCTGGGTGATCGGAGGAGCGGCGGGGAGCGTCTGTCCCCCGAGGACGATCGGTCGGATAAGCGCCGGGCGAGCAGTTTGAAGAGGGCGGCTAAGAGGGTGTGCTTGGGACGGGCAGAGGATAGCGTACACTGCGGCACCGCGGGCTCTAAGGACGCCGGGGCCGCATGGACCTGCGCTTCACTCACACTCACCCCCGGCGATGACCGTGACAGCGAGCCCGTAGCAAATCAGCGCCAGTCACATGCGAGGCACGGAGGAGGCGGGCGTCCGCATTTGTCCGGCCGCGTCCAGCTGGGTGACCCAGTAAAGAGGACTTTACTGTATCGACCTGCTGCGACAGGGTCCGGCTCCGCTGATGACATTAGCGGGACAGATGGGCGGACGGTCGGGACTGCCAAAGGCCGGGTGAGACTATACACTATGCCCTCCTTTGTTGCTGCCGCGGGTGCGAACGGCGTCACGCACTGGGCGCCTGGCGGCGTTCATCATGCACTCTCCTGGGTGCATCACCCAGCAGGGGACCCGGAGCTGCAGGATGCCGGTGTGCAATGCAGACGTTTTGCTGGCGAAACGGGATCAGGGAGACCTGTTCAAGGTGTAGCCCAGCAGGGCATTCATCTGCCAAGAGAACAAGCGTTAGTGGCGGACGAGGCGGCGTTACTGTGCAACGGTAAATGCAAGAGGTCTGGCTGCGCAACTCCTACGGTGATCGAGTGCGGACGGACCGCACGCTACAGGACGGTGGTGGAAGCGGGGGCCGGCGAATCCCGACGCCGCCTTGCCCGACTGGAGGAGCGCACGGAGAGACTGCAGCGCCGTCTACGTGTGGTGCAGGTGAAGCAGGTGGAGAGGCACGTAGTGCAGCAGCTGCAGGGGCTGCTAGGGGTCGCCAGCCGGCATGGGGAATGGAGCTGGACGGGCTCGTCGCCAGCCGGCTCCGGCGAGCTGAGCAGATTGGCCCGGAGCTGCAGCCAAGCGCTCCGCACAGCCGAGGGCGGCCTCGACTCCGACCACACGGCCAGCAGCTCCGGCGGGGAGAGCGAGGCAGATGAGAGGCCAGAGCACTTGTGAGTACCTTCAATGATCTGCTGTCCGCACCCTAGAAGCAACAGGATACAAAGCAGCTGTTTTTCCACAAAAAGGTCCAAGAAGGGTTCTGGTTGTCATCATACTGTTTATAGAAGCACGTTAACCGGATCCAAGCAGCTTTCCACAAGGGATTAGTTAAAATCAGCTTCAGTTAAAATGTAGCTTTAAATATGATTTAATCAAGTCTAGATTGCGTATATAATCTACACTGATGTAGCTAATGTGAATTAGCTGGTCGGACACGGTAATGCTTCCTGGCTATTCCCCGAGAGATGTTATGAGTTGGTCGCCGTAAAACCTGGGGAAGTTCTTACTCGCTGCAGGTGTCCAGCAAGCATCTGTGACAGCCTCAGGTCTCGTGTTGGACAGGGGGACGACTGCAACTTAATGCCCCCATGTCAGGGTAGAGGTTGCGTTTGATTTTATTTTGTGTGTCTGATTTCCCTGATGGAGTCTAAAACAGATTTATTTATGATTGCAGCTGTGGTACGTGTTTAATTTCATTTAATTTGTGGGGTGGGGGATATTCTTATGATCATGAGTATTTTATGTGGTCGCATTGTTTTAATCGGTCTGCAGTTTTTCAACAAGCACTTGTAATTCAACTGTCATGGTTCACACTTTAGACTCATCACTGACATAGTCTGGCCTGTTAAAACACAACTGCCCAGTTCAGAGTGGATGAACCACAGTTAATCGATGCATCGATTAGTCTTTCCAGGGAATTATGGGGTGTGGGGGAGGAGCTACAGGCAGCAGGTTGCCTAGGAGCCCCGGGACACGGTGTGGCTAATCTGTCAAATATGTTGTTTTGCTGAATGCAGGCAGGATTCCCCCGAATGGGGATGGGTTCAGGAGAGGGCGTGGCTTGGCAGCCGGTGGGCGTGGCTACAGGCTCAGGTGTCGGAACTAGAGTACCGGATTCGTGGCTTGTCGGACCTGTACGCCCACTTGAGGCAGGGCAAGGTACAATGTCCCACCGAGGCCTATTTGCTTGTCAGTCCAGTATGGTACAGCAGGGGGTTAAATCACTGTGGCATTGCAGTGCTTGACCTGTTTGTCTCGCAGGGTAGGGGAGTCCACCAGCCCACAGACTGCCTGCCTCCCGTGGAGGCCCCCCAAGCGGAAGCCCAGTCCCTCCTTCCTACAAGCAGTGGTCCCCACAGGTCAGTGAAAAGCAGTGCTGTCTAACAAATGGCCACTAGAGGGTGCCACCAGGGTGTAGCTGGTGCTGTCACTTTGGGGAACAGTCATCATGCACTAGATTAATGTCAGATTGACCAACAATGACCAACAAATTTAGCATGTGTAGTTTTTCTTTCCCACTTTGCCTCTGCCAAAAAGATCATAATCTATGTAAACTGACTTCTGATTGTTTTTCAGTATATTATACGTCCAAATAGACCATGCTCTCAGTTAAACACTAACTGCCTTGAATTAATTTCATTAAGCTGTTGTATGATATGTCTTCCAAAATGGAAGCCTGTCCTAAAACTGGAATTAGTGACTGTCAGGTCACGGTGTTAGTTTGGCAGACATGAATAAATTACTGATGACTTATCTATTAGTTCATGATGGTTTGAGAACTATCGCCATCTCATGGCTGCTGTGAGAAAATGCAGACACTCGTGTTTAATGGCTCATTCAGGTTTGTGCCTCCCATTGTTAGCACCTCCTCCAATGAGATCACAGCTTATTGGAATTGACCAATGGATGTCTCTCTTCTTTCTCATTCTGTATTCCTGTCTGTTTTGATCCAATCATGCGTCCTTGGCCTTTTTTTTTTGCGTTCCCGTAATAAAATGGATGGTGAATGTCACATGACGGCAATGTGTGGATGCCGGGGGACATCCTTTCTGTTTCGTATGTAAGGTTCTCTTTTTTTTTTTTCCTATAGTGCTGCGGCAACATGCCTGAACTCTGGGACAGAGGAGCCCGCTGCTCCCCAGCTGACGTCCGCAGCCCGGGTTCGAGCCTTACCCAGCCGGCGTCGCTGCCGGCTGGTCTTCCCAGGGAATATCTCTGCACTCACAGCCAAGGTGACAGAGTGGCTCAGAGGAAACATTCAAAAAAGTTCCCTTCCAACCTTAAATAAGTAGTAATTATATCAAATAATTACCGGAGTGCACATGCTCTCACACTGTGGGCAGTTTAGAGCCTTTGGAGTGCTGCAGGACACAGGAGTGTCCTGGGGAAATCCGTACAATACAGGGAGAACATCCTAACTCCACAGATAGGGGGCGGAGGCGGGATTCGAACCCACAACCCTTGAAGTGTTAGTCACACCGCTGAGGAACCATACACCCCATCATAATAGTAGGTGTCTCTCCCCCCCCCCATCCCAAGGCGGTGAGTGTGCAGTGCTGGTGTGCTCCCCCCTTGGTCTGCATTCTGTGCACCAGGGGCATGACCCCCTCCCCCTTCATGAAGGATGCTCCCCCACGGGGCCGCGCCGCTCAGCTGGACCTCAGCCTGCACCCCGTCCTGTCTCTGCCCTCCGGTGAGTGTGCCGGCCCCTCCCTGTGGGTTCCGTCCTGCGTCCTTAAAGGCTGGGAGCACAGGGGGGCAGTTATGTGGCGATTTGTGATGGACGGCCATTTCTCGATATCTTCCGGAGCGATTCTTCATTAGGGTGGCCTAGTTAATGCTCGATCATCACCCCCGTGCCCGAATTTTTAAATAGTGCTTTGGTTTTTTTTCCCCCTAGTGTCTTAAACCATCAATTCTGGCAGAGTAACATATTATAACTATTCCTAGTGAAGTAAATGAACATTTGTGTTTATTTACCATGAAAATGATTTGATATAGACCGCTTAATGTGGAATTTGTCATTTGTTAATAAGACTTAAAGCAATTTAAGTTTAAATAGGCTGTACTAAAAATTGAGACAGTCATACAAATGATATAGGGGTGCATTGTTTAGGTTTTCATTTACCTAAGTGTGCACACTTATAAATCGACCAGGACTAGAAACACCCAATACTTTGAAAGAACCTGATTAATTCAGACCCTGTGTGTGTGTGTGTGTGTGTGTGTGTGTGTGTGTGTGAGACACAGATGTCCATCTGGGCCTACAGTCTGCAGCTCTTCTGCGATTTGTCAGAAACTCCCGTGGAGCCATTCGGCCAATCAGCAGGCGGCCTCCTCCTTCCCGGCTGGCCGGGCAGGGCAAGGGCTCCCATAGGCTGAATCACCCCAAGAGGAGGGCTCTGTGTCCCCAGCCACGTCCCCTGCTGCATAGCACTGGTGAGATCCCGCTGCTACCCCATCTCCTCTGTCCGCCACACACGGAGAGCTGTGACTGTGTGTGTCCCTTGTCCCTCCGCAGACGGTGCCAGCGACAGGACAGTGAGAGCCTTGGGCTGGTCCTCCCATCGGGTGCCTCCCACAGACCTCCACTTCCATCCCCCCACCCCTCCGGCCCCCGACACCCCTTCACAGGTGAGCCACAAGCAGCAGAACAAGCTTCCCAGGCTTCCACTGAGAGTAGTTATATTAAATATCCAGTAGATGGCAGTGTTTCCCTATCACACTTGTACTTGCATACTCTCTATACAGGGCAGTTGGGCCACTGCTTTGTTAAATACATGCGAATTTACAGGTTCTGGAGGTCTAGGAAGCACAGGAACCCTTGTGATGTGCGTCTTGAAAGGTGCTGCGTTTAGGGCCCTCATCTCTCCTCTCCTGTCGACAGCAGTCTTTCATTTGGCTAAATCCCATCCATCCATCCATCTTCTGACTGCTTATCTTGCTCAGGGTTATGGGGGGGCTTCTGATGTTCTTTTTTTTTTTCCAAAAACTTTTCAGTTTGACAGCTCATTGTTTTCACAGGAGCAATTCAGTCTAAGTGCTTCACTCCAAAGTATATGTGTCACGGTTTGGGGGTGGACGTTCCCTCTCTCACTCAGCCCCTGCGCCGGCGGAGGGCAGAGAGCTCCTTCGACATCGACAACCTGGTGATGCCCCTGGGATTGGCAGGCCTAGGGGGCGGAGTCAGGCTGCAGAGGCTGCAGTACAAGGAGATCCTCACTCCCAGGTTGATATCTCACACACGCGAAGGGGGTGTTTATTAAACGAATGCAGGTTCCAAAGAACTCAACAGACAGTGCAGTGGGGAAGGATTGCTTCAACCAGGACAGAGCAATTGGATAATATATACAACAATCCCTGAAAGTTTGTGTATGAATAGTTAATTACCACATGAATAGTGGACACCCACCACCACATAATGGGGGCTGTGTCAGAATCCCAGTTCAGGTTATTAGTCACATGACTCGCTGCAGCGATATGGAAGCCCCCCCGAGCTCCAGCCTCACACCCTGCTCTGGTTTCGCTCATAGCTGGAGAGATCTGGCTTCTCAGGGTTTGCTGTCGTCGTCGGCCGACTCCGGCCTCCACCCTGTGCCTCATGACGCGGTCTGCGGGTCGACCTCCGTGACGGACCAGGAGCAGGAAGAGGTTAGCCGCCGTCTCTCAGCAGGGGTTCAGTCTGTTGTAGAGGCCGTCGGGCATCGCCGCGGGCCTCAGGCCGTCGGGCATCGCCGCGGGCCTCAGGCCGTCGGGCATCGCCGCGGGCCTCAGGCCGTCGGGCAT